CAGTCTATTTTTTTTTAAGATGAGTTTTAATAAAATATTTTGGGCTGTTTGTAATGGATTAATAGCAGTTTTAAAAGCTGCACATCAAATAACTATTTTCGAAAATTTCCAACAAGCCTTTGATTTATCAGAACTGCAATATAATTATGATTCTGAATAATAAATTACATGCCAGAAATGCGTAGAGAGTGTATCATCTTCTACTCATGAATAATGGCCTTCATTATAATAATCTCTTTGAAGAGTCTACCAATTATTCGCGATGAAGTTTAGTTTGATTGAGCCCAACCTCAAGCCCCCTCTTGTTGCTTATGTAATTTTAATTGAGGCCAACTCCCTGAGCAACTATTCCCATCAAAATTCCAATTCGTTAATTTGGCTCGACACCGCAAACCGTTGTGGATGCGGCCAAAAACTCCAGGAAAACTCTTTATAAAGGTCAACACTTTCACACGAACTTATAGAAAAATCGGTTGGGATTGTGGAATCGCTCCGGTTCAGATTAATTTATTTCCTGGAGGAATAAGGAGATATCACATTTCCTGAAGCTCGGAAAGTTTTGTATTATTGCGGCGGAGTCGCATTCTACTACCTGAGATTCTGGAACGGTTTTTCAATTTAGATGGTGAAAGGTAGAAAACGTGGGACAGACATGAGAGAACTTATAGAAATTGTTTGACAGTATTGATGATGCCTTTACCTGTACAATCGTTTAGAAATTGAACATTATTGCTCGCAAGTTTCAGCTATGAGTCTGCAACCTCTCTTTGCCTGAGAAGTCACTCATCTCTATATTTCCTCAATTTCATTTCTTAATAAAATTGGCAATCTTGAATATCTTGAAGGAAAACTGGAAAAACGTGACATAACGTCAAACACACATTTTGAGATGCTGTTCTTCATTCCACACGAAGTTAGAAAAAACTAGCGCAACAACAAATTTTAATTTCCATCAGGTTTCAATTCAGCTATTGAAAAATTTTAATCCTCAGATGAATGATTCTAGATTCGACTGCATTAAACTATAAGATCAAACCTGATTCCTAACTCACCCTGAATAAAAGAGTCAAATCACCTTGCTGTTAGGCTACATGATTTTCGGTCTAGTTTCGAGAGAAACAATTCAAGAATGATCACAATTCTGTTCAATCTCTCAAGAGTAATTGATAGACTATCCAGAAACTAAAATGCTATAGAAGCGTTTATATCAGTGTAGTTCAGAATCAGATTTCTTCTGGCAAATCAGTAGTAAAGACTGCGAAAAAACATATGTTGGCCAAACTAGGAGAACCAATCATACTAGATTCAAAGAACATCGTCATTATCATTAAAAGTATGAGAGATTGTATGAATGATTCATCGAATAATATGGTGGAGCAAATATTAATCACCCTTTCTGAATTATAATCAACCATTCACATCAGAATCAGAACTTTCCGAAATAAAATTGGAAAAGGTGTATTAAATGGTAAAGTTGAATTCATGAATCGAGATATGTATGGAATATTACAGAGTTCCAGCTCCAAAAAATAAGCGGAGTGTGAGAGAAATGACAAAAGCATCTATTCGCATCACGAAATTCACTTAGACAGTGGATATTCAACATGGAAAACTTTTTCTCATGTGTCTGGTGGAATACTATATTTACCAGTGACAAATACCAAATCTATTCGGAATTTCCTCCCATTGCTTTCCAAACTCAAACGATATGGTATTGGGTATACAGGGTGGCTCACATTTCGTTGTCTCACTATAGATATCAATGACAAGATGAGGGTGGCCCTGAATTAAGGAAACGTTGGAAGTTGTATGGAAAATATGATTGGATAACATACAAATAGAAGAAGAAATGTTTGTGTAGTTTTATTTTATTACCCGAAATGAAAGGGCTAACACACAAAAACGAAAATCGACAATTTTGTATTTGTTTCTAAATTATCTCGAGAACCGTTCATGATATTGTTGATTTCTTCTCCGAAAGAGCAATTTTTGTTCCATTTAACCAACTTTGTACCTCTAACCATTTCAGAGATAGCAAACAAAAGTGGGACAACGAAATATGGGCCACCCTGTACATATCAAATTTATATTAAACATGATACCTCGATATATGAAAAAACTATAATCACTTATATTATGAGAGTTAATAAATGCAATTTCACATGTTTCAGGAATTGTCTTTCACTGCAAAAGACTGTGAAAAATGTTCAATCACAATTTCATTTTGTTCTTATTAGATGCAGATTACCAAAAATGTTCAATATTCTACAATATTTAGTCCTAATCCAAATCCGGGAAACATTGGTCCCATTCGACTTGTTCGTGGCAAACACGTAAACAGAAACTGCAAATACTAATATCCTGCTGAACTAAATCTATATTTGATTTTGTCGAAAGCGAAAATTATACATGGTGCTGCCAGAATTGAAGCGTATATAGATAATGAATAGAGAGGAAAAATGTTTGGAAAGAGAGAGTGCTGTCGGTTCGGTCAATCATTTTCTGTAAAAATGTGTGGTTCGTGGTATTTATCTTTCAAGCCATTCGGCGCCCTAGAAGTGGTTTGGAATTCACTTCAAGCTGTAGGTGCCTCTCTTCCTAACTATGCACAGGGTTCGATTATTTCAGAATTTCACGAAAATATACAACATTTTGAAGAAATGTGTGCATCACTCAACATACCAAATATTCAAACTGTTATTGAATCAACTACGAAATAGCCACAATGCTCAAAGTTGAATGACATGTTCAATAAATACAAAAAGCTCAAAGTCATATCCACTCATTGTTCATAAAATGAACAACAATGGTAGATTTGGGGAGAAAAACAACTGTTTTCCTGGATAATGCCACGCAGAACATCCTCCAGAAATCTATGCACCGTTCATAGAATAAACAACAATGGTAGATTTCGGGAGAAAAACAACTACTTTCCAAGCTAATGCCACGCAGTTTTGGAGTGATTCTTTCCTTCTGTTCTAATCAGATGGCGTTGCTTTCATATTGTCGATGAGAGACGCCTCTGGGGGAATATAATGCCGACTTGAGTTTTGTTTGGCTAGGCTACGCTGAGTCGGCGGTCTTAGGACTGCTGGCTGGAGCACTGATGAGAGTCAAAGAGCTCGAAATCGGTTTGTGGTTTTCTAGCGTGCCTGGCTAAATCGAAATCAATAGGCATTCAGGAGAGAATCACTTGTATCAGTATTCAGATATAAATCATCAATGTTCTGCGTGGCATTATCTAGGAAAGTAGTTGTTTTTTTCCCGAAATCTACCATTGTTGTTCATTTTATGAACATTGTGTGAAAATAACTTTGAGCTTTTTGTATTTACTTAGACACCAGCATTCGTGCGAAAACGCCTTACAATTAACGATATCAAACTGGAAGCAAGAAATAGATAAGGGTAACTATATAATAGCAGTTTTTCTTGATTCCAAAAGAGCCTTTGAAACCATCGACAGAATAATCTTAATAACAAAACTAAAATATTACGGTATTGAAGGTAATGTGTTGAAATGGTTTGAACAATATCTAAGCAAAAGGTCTCAGAAATGTAAAATAGAAAAAGCGTTTTCTAGTGAACTGGCTATTGATATGGGGGTGCCCCAGGGCAGTGTTTTGGGGCCTCTCCTATTCATTATTTACCTGAATGATATCAATTTTGTAAGGGGCTTTGATTTTCTTAACCTTTTTGAGGAAGATACTTCAGTAGCATGTTATGATAGTAACTTTGGTGAAACGGTAACGAGACTAAATCATGTTTTAAAATCATTCGAATCATTTTTGAAAAGTAATAAGTTGAAATTGAATTCAAAGAAAACGAAGGCAATGATCCTGAGTACAAACTATAAATTGAAAAACGTAAACTACCAACATTCACACATTAAAATAGAAGGTGAGAATCTGGAATGGGTTAAGGAGTTCAAATATCTAGGTTTTATGATAGATGATAGACTAAATTTCAAAAGTCACAGCGAATACATCTGTGAAAATATATCAAAGAAGCTATTCTTTCTATCTAGAGTATCCCAAAACATGTCTCTCTTTTCCAAAATAACCATGTATAGGACGATAATTCAACCCCACTTTGACTATTGTGCTAGCTTACTGTACCTGTTGGACAAAAACTGTTTAATGACGTTACAAAAACTTCAAAATAGGGGTATGAGAATCATTCTGCAATGCGATAAATATGTTCCAATTGATCTGATGTTAAGTACTTCGAACTGGCATAACGTGAACAAACGTCTGTTTTTCATGACAATGGTGTTCATTTGTAAAATAACAATGTTTCTTGATGAATGCCTGATTTTTTTTACTTAGTAGGTACTGAGGACTCAGATTATCATTGTTGATTATCTTTAGTTCTATTGATGATGATGACTACTTAGCTACCAGAATATCGACTCAATTATTATTTCGCGTATTTATGTTGGAAATGTACAAAAAATTAGTGAATTTTATACTTATTCGATACACCTATATCCTCTTCTTCTTCAAACATGTTTCAAACGAGGTGTCAGTGAATACTGATTACATTTGTCTCTGATAGAGAAATTCTGAGTGCATTGACATTTCAAGGCAAATCATGTGATTCGCCTTATCACAGGTATAATTGAATAATACTAGAATCCCCAGAGTCTACAGAAATGAATCTTCAACGACTATTCAACCACGGCTTGCAAGAAGCCTCACTTTATTATATTCTGACATCAAAGCAAGGTTTTTTCATTATTTCGTTGGTGTTTTCCTTATTAGTATTCAGCACTAGTAGTAACCAGTTTCCTCTGCCTTTCCAATATACGCTCGAGCATGAAACAAACAAGCATCAAAGGTAAATATCCGGAAACCACAAATATTAATATAACGTTCCGAAAAACTGTTTAATTTTGCGGGTATTTCCGCGCATGCTCTCACACGCTTTTCACGGACTTGGAAAACTTTTGGGCGCGCGCATTTTTCTAGAGGAGACCCTTCCAATGCTGTGTCGCGTTAGGAGTTGAATTTATATTCGCTGAGATTTGCGAAATTCTACGCCAACAGCATTTGGCTCGAACAAAGAGCAATGTGTTCGAGATTTCTAGTTTTCTTCCTTGGAAATTGGTGAGTTATTTTTACTTTTCATCAAAATCGAATCAAGACTTTTTTAGTTCTAGAAGGTATCGAATATTAACGCATGCTCGCACAGGGACACAGGGTGATATTCTATTCAGGGAAAAGACTGACTTTGTTCATGCTTATTTATACTGGGTACATTTGAATAATACCGAAAAAATTCAAGGGGTGATTGCCTGTGATATTCTAGCAAATAAAGTTTATAAGAACAAATGTCCTAAGTGGCTCCGTTTTTGAGATACAGGATTTTGAAGTTTGAAGTATCAATTGTTTTTATTCATAACCCCCCTGTATTAGTTTTCATGGTGCCAAAACTCAGTATGGTTTGAGACTGAGGAAGTCTTGAAATTTCGAAATGATTGTGATTGGGGTAATTGAGTAATCTCAATGGAAGTCTTGAAAACAACTATACATCAAAACGAGAAAATAATTAAATGAAAAATACCGATTTGTGACTTCAACGCCCTGTATCTCAGAATCTGTTCATCAAAGAACTTTACGATTCTGCAGGTTCAATCAGTTCATCGAATTCTACAACATACTGAAAATTCAGAAAATTTCACCGAGAACCATTTTACGTACTTAAAGTGCGGGGTCCTTTGGAGTCAAATCGAGATTTTACTGTTTCCTCAAGAACTAAGCTAGATACAAAAATCACACAGAGGATAAAAAAATTGATATTTCAATAGTTCAATCTAATAAAAATATGAAACTAAATATTGATGAATTTACCCCCTGTGACGCCACTGGAAATATTATTTCGAATCTAATTGCACCAGAAGAAGCTCAATATTACTATTGAAAAAACCACAACGTTTCATTGAAATTGATGGAAAGACAATTGAGCAATGAATAAACATAGTTATTTGTTTTACTAGGCAGAAAAGTAGTAGATTGACTGCCGCGGCTGACAGCCAAGGCAGTCAATCTACATTTGCTGCCGTGTGAAACATAGAATTTTGTCTCCAAATGATATAAAACTAATTTTGTGTAATTTTTTTTTTTCCAAAAACGCCATCATTTAGTGTTCACCCAATGTCAGTGTCAATTTTGATTACTAATTTCATTAGAATTTCTTGGAACGTTGCATAGCAACAAACGCTTCCTGCCTAGGCAGTAAAAGTACACCTTTTCTGCCTGTTAAGCGGCAGAAAAAAGCCACTATTTCTGTCGCTTGGAGAAAAAGGATTTTTCATGAAAATATTAATACCCTGTATCTCGAAAACGAAGCAAGTTAGGACACAAGTTCATATGAACTTTATTTCCTAAGATATCACAAGGAATCACCCCTTGGATTTTTTTTGTGTTATTTAGATACACCCTGAATGCCAGTATTGTAATTGCTATTGTGATTATGAATGTTTCAAATTTGACAATCTGTAAGGTCATCAACCAGAGATTCCATAATCCGTCGTATACATACAGGGTGTTTTTTCTTCGAGGCGCAGGCACGGAATAAATGATTTCTTGGATGGTTGCTGGATTTGAGGACCATAAAGGTTAAAATACAAAAATCTTATATAGTTTCCATGCGCAATGCGCGAAATATGTATATCGAACACTATTTCGTAGAAAAATAAAAAAAGGTTCACTTCGCATACTATTATCAATGCGAGAACCCTGCCATTTTTTGACGTTTATTGAAAAAATCACATTCTTAGAGATACTTGATGAATTTTGAAGTTTGCCAGTAGTAGTATTCTGAATCATTTAGTAAAGATCCAGCTGAGCCCAAACGTTTTCTTTTGGTGAAGTCAAGAGCATGGAGAGTTCAAGAAATTTTCACTCGGGCGCTTCATTATGTCATGTCTCATACAACTCTCAATTTCTTTCTTGCATGCCAAATATTCAGTTGGAATACTAGTATCAGTTTTTGGCCCTAGAAATCAGTTTACGCGTGAATACATGACAAAAACTTAGAGAGGGAATAGAAGCAGTGTGTGATGAGATGAAAAATGAAAGGTAGTCCATTCAGGAAACTATTAAAAATTTATTGATACGATGTAGAAAATGCATCGAAATTGCTTGGGGATATATTGAAAATTGTTTTCAATCGCCTCATTGAATCTGTTACCTGTATTCAATTTTTGTACAAATGGATATCAATAGTAACCAGAATATAAATTTGCATGAATCAGCTACAAGTATGATGAAAATTTTCCTTCCTTAATAGTAAGCCATTTCAGTTGATCTCATAGAGATACAACACTGTCGAATTTCATGACATTTTGATAAGTGGTTTCTGAAATATCGGCCATCAAACTAATATGACAATCACATATGATAATCTTCGTCATGGATGGCCAAAAAAATTATTCATATATTCATCAACTCGTCTTGGTTTCCTCTATTTACCTCTTGGTATTGTGAGTCTCTTCATGAAACACTCTGTATATGCAAAAAAGATCGAATAGAGTTTCAGCTCCAAATGAATACCATAGGCTCACGTTCACACATCAATTCCGAAGTCGAATAAAATGCAAATTTTCTCGTGGCCGCCCCAAAGAGTGAATTGTAGCAACCTTCTGGACTGCTCGTACAATGATACGGAGTTGCGATGAACTTTCCACATGGTTCAGAATATTCGATGGTTTTGGTATGGACGAGATTCGGAATAATATAGCCTATTATACGTTAGTCTAGATTTTACTCTCAGCCCTCCTTTGAGTAGCTACCTAGCTAGTAGGAAGAAAAACTAACTAAACAGATACGTCGTCATGATCATGATTTTTCAAGTAGCAAGAAGGATCCTTCCTCTGGTAGTGAGTATGTGTCTTCCGATTCATCTGATATCCCAGGTCCAAATCTGATTGTTGTAGTTAGATTTCCTGTAATCTTGTTTGTGATTGTTTGTAACACACAATAAATGAACATTTTGCTTAATTCGTTTAATTTTATGTATTCGGTGATCATCTCCAGGATATTCAAAAATTGACACAGGAATATATACATATTAACTACCTCACGACCTACCTATCTATATCATAATGAAATATAAAATTTTCACTTATTAGCTTTGGATTTTCAGGAACGAAACTGCTGTTCTCAACACTAGCATTGAAAATATTAGATATTCTTGACAAATTTTCTTCGGTTTTCTGTGTTGACACTTCTTAGTGACAGTGTTCTTGTCCCCATATTATTCTCCTTATATATAGCAGATATTATTAAATACTTAGATGAATACAAGCTAACACTCTATGCAGATGATTTGTCCATCTTGGTAGCAAAAGACTCGTTAGAAACCACGCAACATCACTGTGATAATTTAATAACAAGAATTATACTTTGGTTCTCCACAAACAAATTATATGTCAATTCTGATAAAACAAATTTATTGATATTTCACTGTAGACAAAGGAGTATTGAAAACATAGAAATTAAAATGGGAGAAGTGAACCTAAAACAATGTGAAAACATCAAGTTTTTAGGCATTATTATGTATGATACATTAGATTGGGAAATCCATATCAGAGAAACAATGAAAAGTTTTTAACTTGCCCGTGGTGAAAAATTTTTATTATGCGGAAATTCAGTCACGACTCACATATGGGATCTTTTTATGGGGTTCAGCATCAGCAGTCCAGAAATTATTTGTACTGCAGAAAAAATGACTTAGAACATTATTTAATAAAAGTCAGAGAGAATCATGTAGACCACTATTTGCCAAACTGAAAATACTTCCTCTCTCTTGTCTGTATATTCTAGAAATATCGTGTTACATCTTTAAAAATAAAAAAAGTATCCACACTCATAGTCATGATCACAGTTATTAAACGAGATTTAACCACCTAGAAATAATTTGAATGTCACTCTCAGGGGACCCATCTCCAATGGTGTGAGAATTTACAATATGCTACCGGAGACAATTAAAAAGGAAGTTACTTACTTCAAATTCAGAAAACATCTCAAAACTTTTCTGTTGTCAAAAATGTTTTATAGTATCGAAGAATTTTATGCTTCCTAGATAGATATCTTCACTCTAAGATATCATATATTTTCTTTTACATAATATACACTATTTTTATAGTTGTCAATTTTAAATGTGAATCAACTATATGTAAGCTATGACGTATCACTTATACTGGTCTTTGAAAATCAATAAATTTTACTTTACTTCAGATGTTAATGCAAACAAATGAGCTACGGAACATTTTCATCAATAATTGATCTTCAATTTACCATCTTAAATTGGCGCCATACTCCTAGATGTTACCTTATGACTTATTTTGGGAAAAAATCAAAGACTCTGAATTTCAATTACACTCCAGATTCTTCGTTATCAGAAAAGCAGCATGTTCTTGTTTGATAACAGTTCAATTCAAGTTGGACGTAGTGGCCTGAAACGCGTAGTTTACCAAGCAGCTGGCCTGAATTCAATCCCTGGAGAGCAATAGTATCTTTTCCATTCATTAGAAAAAAATTCTCGGTAGATACACAAATTGCTATCATTTTTTAATATACTATCAGCCACAAACATATCAGGAAACAATTGTTTGTATTGCCTGATTTGACGGATTAATTGTGTAACACTCCCTTAATAGCAGTTTCACACTAAATTCCATTAGATTTGAAAAGAATGACTAATAATTAAATGCAGGAAATAAAAGCTAAAGGAAGCCAGGAATTGGATCTCCAGTATAAAAAAGAAAAACTGTGCGATATGGTGGAAAACCAAATGAAAATTTACAGCTTTCGTCCGATGTGAAAGACGACATTCCAACAAGCATTTGCACTCCTTATTTTAAGTAAGTAGCCAGACTCGGAATTATCCACTCTGGGAATTTTCACAGTTGCAATTCGCAATGTTTGTCTTTCCTTTCGGATATTAAATCGTCGGTCTCCTTTTAGGTACATAATCATCACTGAAGCGAAAATGCGGTTCCACAAATCGTTCACTTGAAACGCGCAAAAAGGGTTCTTGCATGAGATTGCTCGGAAGCATTTGCCATTGGCATTCTGTAAATATTTATAGCTCAGCAATGCTA